CCCAGAGAGGGAGGGGGAGGGTGAGCGAACGGCTGCATGGTGTTTAGCTGACAGCCGGGTTAAACCACAACACACCTTTTACCCTAACATAATAATTCAGTGAAGGCATTAATGCTTGATTTAGAACTGAATACGTTGCCCCATATCAATAAGAAATTTCACTTCCATTCCTCCCCTAGCTTCATTATAATCAGTGGAGGATCCGCTAGGGTAGATTCCCCAGGTCCCCGTTATTCCTGTTGAAATCAGGGACCAATGATTACCCTAGAAAAAGGCTAGTCAATTTGTCCTCCGAAGCCAGGTCCAAACCATTTTGTTTTATTTATTTATTTAATTTCTTTACATTTCAGTGTTGGTCCAAAAATTCCATAGGGGTTTCTTTTAGACCTTGTTGGAAGCATATTCTCAATTCCCAATTCATCCAGATTTTAGTATTTACTTAGCCGTTCATAATTTTAGGGATGATTAGGGTCTCAGTGGGGTCGGTCAGGGGAATGCAGTTGTCCACAGTTCCCTGAGCGGTCCCATCGGTAATCTGAGCTCGCACATAAACTTAGGTTGTTTTAAGAGTTAACTGCTTTTCTGTTTCCATAACAACTCTCTCTCGGACCCATCATGATCCCTTTGCCCCAAAGGGCTAACACCCATGATTTTAAGATCTCTGCCTAGAGCAGAGGCAGAACTATTAACATTCCTACATCCTCTTTCCCTGCTCATTCAACTTCAAACACCTTTAACACTTTCAACAACCCTTTTAACACTTCCTTTATCTTTCTCCAGCCTGTACTTCTCTAATGCCAACATCAAAGGCTCAGTCAGGGGCCAACTTAATTCCGTACCTTTTCCCACCAAGATGCTGAAACAACATCAGTATACAACATTTCATCCTATTCTCCTTCTCAAAACCAACATTAACTGTAGCAAAACATTAGAGTTTAAAGTTCCATTTAGGGGCCACTTTTCTCCACATTCCAGCTTATAAAGCGGCCACCATTGATTACAATATTTTATCAATGTTTTCCTGTTCACACTTTCGCCGGCAGATCCTCCAATATCCTTCCAGTGACTCAAAACACATCCTAACGCACTTTTCTTTAAAATTTCACTGCTTGTGTGCCCCCCCCATTTTCCAGTTCACACTTTCAGAATACACATATCACTTACAAAAATGTATCACAAAAACGTATCACTCACAAAATTACAGGCACGCAATATCTTTCAGTAGCGATGTCACAAAGCTACTATTACCAGCAATATTGCTAAAATCACAATAACAATAGTCAGAGTCAAATTCCACATGCGATAAGTCAGAAAACCGAACTGTGTAACACCGTAACGATATCTCTCTTATAACAATGTCACGAACCTACTATTACCACCAGAAAAATAGCCAAAATCACAGTAACAATAACCAGAGTTAAATACCATACTCCATGAGTCAGAAAACCGAAATAGACAACACAATTCCAGATGGACCTTAAAGCGAGCTCTTTCCTTAAGGTCCCCAAATATACTTATGGTGCTTACCACAAAGTATATACCAAACACTGCCTCGGAGAAGATCACCTTCCTACTTACAGACAGTTCCAGATACAGATGGACCTCAAGGTCCCCAGATATACTTGTGGTACTAACCACAAAGTATATACCAAATACTGTCCTGCAGAAGTCACCTTCCGACTTACTGGACAGTCCCAGATGACCGGTCTACCAGAAAACCAAACCAGAATAAAGAATATACTCACTTACAATGATGGGGTCCTTGTCTGCCTCTGCAGTGATCTGGTGAGTCGAGGAGTCCCCCCGGGAAATCCCGGGGGTACCCTAGGGAGTCCTGTCCCCAACGGGTCCTGCGGACCGGCAGAGAGGTAGTCCCATCTGGGGTGCCAGATTGATTCAAAGATCGAAGCCGAAATTCCTTTAAGTGGTATATTCTTTATTGCAGCGCTGGATGCACGGGGGATCTCTCCACCTATCGTGCATACCCAAAGCGGAAAGCAGTCTTGAATTTATACAATCAATCTATCAATATTCTACAAGCACTATACATATGCATTACCTATCCCCGCCTTCCCTCGCTTCTCATGCTAATTAGCCTTTTGGCACCTTGCGCCTGCGTAGAGCCTTCCAAGAATTGTGGGCAGGGGTCTTTGGGACGTGGGCAGGGGTCTTTGGGAGGAAGACCCCGAGTCTTCCTCACAGTGTACTTTTCACCTTTGGTCAGGAATCTGCTGAATTGGCACGTTTCTTAATTGCGAGAGCTGGTTGTTGCCAATTCTTCCGTTTGTTGTATCTTTATAATGAATTCCAATGTCCAGTTTTGAGATTTATAGTCCTTACGTTTGTTTCTCTGTCCGTCTGCCGCTTCCTTATCATGAGTTCCAGTGTCTTGTTTCGAGATATACAGTCCATGTCTGGGGATTGTCCTTGCCTCCCCAATGCCTCCCCAATACCTCCTTAATCAGGGCAAAGCACGAGAAAGTAGGAAGAGAGCAAAAGAAGCAGCTGTGTTTTTTTTTCCTTTGTTTTTTAAAATCTGGTTTATCTCAAAAACATTCCGAGAGCAGACGAGACCTGCGTTGTTCCTAGAAGCAAAACTCCCCTTTTGCTTTTGCTGCAGCTTTTAATGTTGAACTGATAACGTCACCAAGCAAGTAACTGAAACTTCTTCAACTGGAATTAGTTTAAACACGCTCACCGTCATCTGCAAACACAGAGAACCAGCATTCACTAGCCCTAACCCTAACCCCTAACCCTAACCCCAACCCTCACCCTAAACTCTAACCCTAGCCCCAGCCCTAGTCCCTAACCCCAACCCTAGTCCCCGAGAACTGCATTTCCCGGTATGCTCTGGGCACCCAACATGGCCTCCCGGAAGTTCGGAGTCCCAGAACTACATTTCCCGGTATGCTCCGGGCACCCAACATGGCCTCCCGGAAGTTCGGAGTCCCAGAACTACATTTCCCTGAATGCTCCGGGCACCCAACATGGCCTCCCGGAAGTCCGGAGTCCCAGAACTACATTTCCCGGTATGCTCTGGGCGCTCAACATGGCCTCCCGGAAGTTTGGAGTCCCAGAACTACATTTCCCGGTATGCTCTGGGCGCCCAACATGGCCTCCCGGAAGTCCGGAGTCCCAGAACTACATTTCCCGGCATGCTCTGGGCAATCAACGCGGCCTACCGGAAGCCTTGTGACGGAAAACTACACCTACCAGCATTCCCTGCACAGCCGGCACGGCCAATCAGAGGCCGAGTTGTCGAGAACTCCATTTAACAGCACTCCCTGGAACCCTAGCCCTTACCGCCCTTACACAAAGAAGCCGCAAGCCCTAACCCTACAAATCCTCGAAACCCCTACAGACCTAACCCAAACTATCCACCACACTAAACCCCTGAAGACCTATGCCTAAAAGCCCTAACCCAAACACTTAAGACGCTCAAATCCCACACCCACAAAATTAAGATGCTCAAATCCCAAACCCAAAAAAATAGGACGCTCAAATCCCAAACCCCCTTCCGAAAAAGAAAATAAGAAAAATAAATCAAACAAAACAAAAACAACAAAAGGGGTAGACCTGGTGGCATCTGCCCTATAACCCTGCAAAAATCATGAGGGACATAGAACAACAAAGCAAACACACAAAATAACATTGACATCCTATCCATAAAAGTGCTATAACAATTAATCACCTCCAAAGAGCTTCTTGCAATAAATGCACGTACTACTAGATTGGTTCTCTCTAAAAGATCGTACAAGACTCTGACCCACGAAAAGAACCCTGCATGTAGCTAACAGAAGAATAAACAAAGCACCAACCCCAAAGAGCAGCCCACGCAGGAGGAGCTCTCTGATAGAACTGCCTAGGGCTCGTATAACATTTGGCCCCGCCCAGCACCCAAACCCAATCATCTGGGAAAGAGGAGGGGGCAAACCAGAAGAAAGAGAGCAGGAACAGCAGCTGTGTTCTTTTATTTATTTATTTATTTATTTTTCCCTACCCCTAGTTTACAGCATGCGGAGTGCAGACAAAAGAACTGTGGCGTTCTCTAGAAGCAAAATTTACCGTATTTTTACCTCAGCTTTGAACATAGAAAAGACAATACAACCAAGAAAGTAAATGAAATATTTTCAACAGGAATTGGCTCAAACCATTCATTTACATATGAAGAAAAATCTAGGAGCGTAGGAAATTACACATCAAAAAGAGACGTAATAAGCAACGCGCATGCGTGGCCACCGACCGCCTGCAGTAACCATTTCCCACCAGCAGGTGGCGGCAGAGGCCGCCCGAGCGCTCCACCGCGCATGCGCGGCCGCCGGCCGCCTGCAGTACTCTCTTAACACCAGAAGGTGGCGGCAGAGGGCGCCCGCGGGGAATACTGCGTATACGCGCCCCCCGGCTGCCTGCAGTACTCGTTTTCCACCAGCAGGTGGCGGCAGAGATCGCGTTGGCGGCGACCGGCCGCCCGCAGTACCCCTTTCCGAACAGCAGGTGGCGGCAGTGGGCGCCCGCGGGCGCCACCGCTTATGCGTGGCGTTCGGCCGCCTGCAGTATTTACTTCTCACCAGCAGGTGGCGTTCCACCCTTAGGTTAAATACCTGCAGTATTGGCTCAGAACGCAAGAAACCCTTACTGTGCCTTATTTCAGTGGATGCAGCATTCCAAGTTTATGTATGGTACCAAGAACTGGTCTTGAATCAGGTCCTCCGTAGATGGGAATCCTTGAGTTCTTTATTTGCCTGGATTTTCCCCATTGAGCGTGGACCAAATTGAGTTCAGCCCCTCCTTGTGCCACAGAACTTGAGAAAAATGTCCAAATTGTCTGTAACAGGTGTTTTTTCTATGAAAGTATTAATACACTACCTCCCCTTGTCCCTCTTCCTGTGTATTGTACAATAATATTTTCACTGGTCATGAATAATAGCTTTTTTAGGAGTTTTACTATTACTGGCCAGTTATTTTTGATTTGAGAAAAATAAAAAAACACACACCGTGCACCATGTCACCAGGTGATTCCATTTAATAGTCTCTGCATTACCAATATTTAAAAAGAAAATTCACTAGGGGAAGTTCACAAGTCTGCAGCTATTACCAATAAAGACGGTGTAAGTAAACTTCTCAATATTGCTTTTGGTATTTCATGAGAAAAAAAAACATTGCGGCTATGTTTTCTCATCTGTAAGGTAGACAGAAAAGCAATCCAAAATTCTGAGCATGATGCCTGAGAATCACAATTTACAGTTACTCAATGTCTTCCGGTCTCACAGGATGAGGAAGAGGTATAATAGATTTCTTCTCCGTATCTCTGGAAAGAGCTTTTCTCATATCTGTAGCAAGAGGAAAAAGATCTGCAACAACTGTAGTTGTCTGTCCACAGCCTTTGTATTTTGTACTGTTACTTTAATCTGAAAAGATGAATGGATGAACAGAAAAGATACACAGCAAGCCCAAAGAAGCTTTCGTGGAGGACGCTTACAGGAAAAAATACCTTGCAATAACAAGCACCTAGTACTCCTATTTTGTTAACACAGTACTTGAAATTACCATGTCCTTTATCCTTTAAATTGAAAAGGCCACCCAATTCTCTGTCACTGTGGACCATTAGCCTCTGTAAGATTTTAATTGGCTGAGAAAAACAATTCCTCAAGTCCATATAATCAAGGGACAACAAAACAAAAGCGGGGGGGGGAGGGGGGGGAAGGACTGTCACAGAAAAGGAGGGAAGAGAAAGGAAGAAGGAAAGCACAGCCATTCCTCTTCCCAGTGGCATCAGGAAGAAGTCCAGGCACCTGCCAGGAGCATTCTTTCCATTAGACAAGTAACCGAATGTTATTTATCCTTACTCACAGAATAACATGTCTTTGTACTGGATAGCTTACTCATCTGGTATTTTATTTTACCGTGGATACAATGCAACGTGCAAACCACAAGGTTGATTTTTTTAACAGATATTAATCCTCAGCAGGAAAAGCTATCTAAAGGAAGAAGTAAAATCCCATTAAACAACAACCACCTTAACTTTTTCCCTATACACAAAACACAGGGACAACCCTAGGACACACAAGAGGATCTTTCCATTCAACGTGGGGGTAGAACAAGTACTTACCATAAGCATCCTCGTCAGGCTCTCCATTGCTAGCAGAATAGTACTCTAACACTGTCCGGTACACACTGTAGCCCAGTTGCTTATACATGTTTACCGCAACCTGATTTGATACTCTCACAAAGAGATCAACGAAAAATCCGCCCTTTCTTTTAAAAAATAAACAAAACACAGTAAGAACGAGCAGGTGAATATATTTCCAATTAAAAACCCACAACATGTAACCAAGAACAGGTCTGATGAGGCAATACACTAATCAGGTATGTTTCACGCTGTAATAACAGATGCATTCCTTTTAGCACAGGACAAGCCCAGTATTGGCAGAAGTTATTTTTTTTGGTCACATGAACAATCTTCTACACCATCCAGTACACTCAGAATTATTAACAAAAAGAACAGGGCCAGCCAAATACCCACAGAAGCCTCATTTTCATATATATATATATGAATAATTATATATATATATATATATAAATATTATATGAATATAAATATATATGTGTGTGTGTATATATATGTATATATATATATATATATATATATAATTATTTTAATTATAATCCGTATTTTAGATGCATTTACATTGCACTAGCTTAGGGACTGACTGCCCCCTTCAAAATGAACAGGGGAAGAAAAATCAGTCTCACAATTCAGTTGCCTAACAGGAGACAGCCCTCAGTATGCAAGTTCTTCAAAGAATCAAGCAATTTGGGGATTCAACCAACCACAACAGGGTTGCTCTACTGGCACGAGCTAGGGACATTTCCCTAATGTGTTTATTTTCTGCAGGTACGAGTAAGCTTATTTTCCATCTCATGCTGGCTAAGTTACTGTCTGCAGCACTACATTTGCGTAATATTGCGTCCAAGGGAACCTGCACAAAGCCCACAGCCGCTAAACAAGTATGTTGGGGGCACTGTGGAAGACACTGTTGGTAGGAAAAGAACTTCACAAAATATCAAGAAAAGGATAGTTTATACTGTGTCTTTGCTGAAATTTAGACTACTTCCCATTCATCATGGCAAGTGAGCTTTCATAGAAATCAAGACATTTTAAAATGCCGAGCAAAGTTTTTAGCTCTTGTTCTCTAACTACAGGGAATTTCAGTCAGTTGGGGGCGCTATTTAATAGAGAAGTCCGGGAGTCTGGGTATGTTTCATGTAAAACAAATACCTAAACCAGGGACAAAAGTCTACAGAAAGAATACTTTACAAGATCAGCTTAAAGAGAAGGGTAATACTCACTTTTCTGAGATTTCTTCCAATAGTTCCATCAACTTGGCAGCCAAACCCAGCCGTCGAAATTCTGGTGCAACCGAGAGAGCAGTAACATGTCCGTGCCATTCTTCCCTGGCCACAGAGCCTTCTGCTTTACCCATTACTGCGGACAGACAGAGTATCAGCACAGCAGCACCTCTGGGACAACGCACCCCAGGTGTACATCGTTACAGAGGAGTATATGAACACATGCTGCAACAACTGTGGCGAAAAGCTGAACAAGGCATGTCTGTATTATCGCTCTATGACTTAGCAACTCTGTACGGTTACAGGTCAAATATCAGAGCTTCAGAGAAAGGCAGGAAAGGCCCCTGAAGGTCACATTTCCATCTGGATTCCAAGCTCTACTGGAAAGACCCCCAGATGCTAGTTCCTGATTTCACCAACTGCACGCTAACAGAACCTATTCTGACACCCAACTTCACCTACCGCAGACAATGCAGATGGTTCTCATACAGTTCTGCTTCATTGCATCAGACATCATTCTGCTCGTTTTACACTATTCTCTCGACTAGCATTAAAAAAGTTACATCATTTTTCAAAACTTGTTTTTTGAGGAGTGCCTTCTAAATAAAAGCCTTAAGCAATTCTCACGAGTCTTTAAACGAGCAGAATTCGGGGTCTGACTGGAATAATGGAAGAACAGAGGGCTACAAGCCAAAAAACTAGTTCATCACCCTAGCAACTAAAGGAAATTTCTGGTCGTTTTGAGGGGGTAGAACTTGGGCAGCTTTGCTAATCTGGCAAAAGACAGCTTAGACCCTGCAAACACGTTACATGTAGCCAAAAGAGGTGGGTTTTTCTGTTTGTTTGTTATTTTGGGGGGAGGGGGAAGAGTCGGGTGGGGAGCGGGGGTGTCTTTGGAGCTTGTTTCTACATAGCACCACACAAGCGTTAGATTGTGAACAACCCTCCAAACCTCCTGTCGCACGCAGTACTTCAGAAACACCCGTCACTCACAGCACCAACGCTTTAGGCTTCAACACGTAGAACGGGCCATTTCCCCAGTCTCTGCAAAGGCCTCCCGGGATGCCAGGGCAGCGATAACGAGGAGGGCGAACCGGCAGACAGCCCGAGTAGCGGGTACTGCTGGCGAACGCCACCGCGGCAAGGCAAGGCAAGGCAAGGCTCGGCTCCCCGGCCCAGGGCTGGCTCTCGGCGGGCGAAGGGAGGCCCGCGCCCGGAGCTCAGCGCCGCTCGCAGCGCGCCCGCCCCGCGGCCCGAGAGCAGCCGGAGCCCCCGCCGAGCGCTGCGGCCCCGGAGCGGCAGGGCCGGGGCCGGGGCCGGGGCACTCACTGTAACCCATCAGCTCCCCGCCGGGCGCCTCCGCCACGATGAAGTACTCGGGCCAGTGCGCCAGGTACTGCAGGTAGAAGGGGATCCCGTACTGCGGCCGCCAGTTAAGGAGCACGGCCACAGCGGCGCGGCGCCCCCCGAGGCCTCCCGCCAGGCGGCCGGCGGCAGCGGAAGGATACGGTCTCCGTCAGCGGGTCCAGGTTGCTGCGGGGAGAGCGAGGGAGAGAGAGAGCGAGGGAGAGAGAGAGCGCGGCGCTCAGCGCGGGCCCGGCCGGGCTGCGGGGCCGGGGCCGGGGCCGGGGGGGAGGGGGTGTCCCTGACATGTTGTTGAAGCGGAACAGGTCGTCGCAGGTGAAGGCGCGGAGCGACGTCATGGCGCTGCTGGGCCGCCGGCGCTGCCCCGGCAATGCTCCCGCCGCCCCGGGGCCTCTTCCTTCCGGCGCGGAGGAGGGGCAGCTCCGCCGGCCCCGCCCCGCGGCCCGGCCCCGCCCTGCAGCCGCCCGCCCGGGCCGAGGCCGCGCCGCCGGGCGCCAGGGCCAAGGCTCGCGGGGGGCGCCGCGGCCGCCGCCTCGCCAAGCGACCCGCGCGGGCCCCCCCTGCTTTCCCCCGGCTCCCCCACGGCACCTCCGTGTCCTTCCTTCGGGCGCTCTGGGGCTCTGCGGGACATCGGACCCGCACCCTGCCCTCTGAACCGCGCCGGTGCTTGCAGCTGCGGCTGCTTAAATTGCTCACCTGCCAGGAGTGCCGTTTGTTACACGGAAGGAAAAAAAAAATACCCTTCCAGTCAGCCCGTTACTAGGCTACCGACACCCATGCTTGCGCTTCGGTGTGCACCGAGGTCCCGAAGGGACTTCGAAATATCATCGGGTCCAACCCCCCTGCCAAAGCAGGTTCCTTAGAGCAGGCTGCCCAGGTAGGATGCACATGTAGCAACAGCCACCTGGTTAGTCTGCCAGTCGAGCTAGCTCTGCCCAATGAAAATTCCTACACGCGGAGAAAGGGATAAAGTCCTTGCAGTGCATATTAAAAAAAAAAAAAAAAAAGCCATACTGGTGAAAACGGTCTGACTTATGCCTGCCTCAGGCAAAGGCAAAGCCGTCCATGGGGCTGCTTTTGCTCAAGGACGTGGGTGCACTCAGCAGCTGATGCAGAAGTATGGGGCAGCCTGAAAACCCTCAAGGGCATCTGGGGTGAGAACAGGCAGTCCTTTGGGTTGTACAATTGCTGTAGTTGCTGTGTAATGCTGTATGTCGTCTGCAGTTGCGTGTCGACTCAAGGGCGTTACAGGAAGAGTCGCTCAGATTCGTGAAGAATGACAGCACGTGCACAGACGTGCGGGGCTTTCCTCGCATATGGGACTCACCGTGCCTGCGCACGCCCACCCCAACTTTCGGCGAGTCCTCCCCCAGCCTCAGCACACAGGCAGCCCTGCTGCCCAGGACTGCCACGATCCCAGGAACTCCCGCTTGCACGCACCTTCTTCCTTGCCACGGTCCCAGCAACGCTCAGTAACCTCACCGTGCTCCAAGGCTTCTCTAAAGACCTTTCCAGACCCAGCTTGGCTGCCCCAAGCAGCAGAGGGGCTGCAAGGCAGACGAACTGCAACTACAGCCCCCTCATCGCCTTCCTCCACCACCAGCCCCACAGCTGCCACCCTCACCGAGGTGCAGCCCTTTTATGAGGAGGGGCTGCCCAGATCACCACCCTCATTAGCCACACCTGGGGCTCCAGTGACAGGTTTTTACTCTCTTTTCCTAATCTTCTTCCCAAATGTCCCAATTCTCTGGGATTCAACTCTTCTGTCCACGTACAAACGTTACTATTTCAGATTATTGATGAGCCCCGTTCCAATCAGAAATCCACAGGACTTCAGGAAGACACCTGAAGCACTCAGCCCTCCGTCTTCTAGACAAACAAAACCACCTTTTCCACAAAATTTACATTTCAGCAGGGCCGAATTTCAAGCCGAGTGCCAATTTTTCTCATGCACTTTGTTAGTAAGCTTGCACAAAACAAGGAATCACTCCTACGTATCCATCAATATGGGGGCTTGAAAAGGTATTGAGGCCTAAATAAATTCGCTCTCCCCCTTCTTACCAAATTCCCAAGGGCTCAAGGCCAAACCACCACAGAAGCGACTCTCTCCGTTCTGCCACTTTGATAATCGGTCAGCCCCTCTCCCCCGATACCTGGGAAACCGACCAAACACCACAGCAAATATACCCAGACTTCTAAACTGTCACTTAGATAACGCCGCCACCTTCCTCCTTGTCACACTCCAAACATTTCAGAACAAAAATGGGATTACGAGATGCACCGCCGGGCGCATATATTGGGCACCACCAGTCAACACTTGGATCAAACAGCACTTCCTTTCGGTCTGTCGTGCGCTTCGTTCGTCCCTGGCTGCTCCCCTCCCGGAGGATACGGGACCGCGGATCGGAACGCCGCACTCGCTTCACGGCGATGCTGCGCCTCGCTCACCCAGCACAATCACGCTGTCACGCAAAGAGGCCCCCTGCACTCCTCGCTCATACCACAAGAATGTATCACTTAAAACAACAACCAAACGTGTTCGTAAGTCACTTCACAACAGCACTTTGTCTCAAACACACACACGCCAATGCTTTCAACGTGACATACCCAGACACCTACAAATAAGACACGCAATTATTACCACTCCAGTTAACATCCCCCCAGCAGCTGCTGCTATTACCCGGGTAACCTTGTCACAATTTCGAGAGGCCCGCTTACCTTTCTCCTGCGTCTTATGCAGTCATTAGCAGGTCCGTCCTGGCTCCCAAAACTGGGAGGCAGCGGTAACCTCGCATTTGCTCCATCTACTCCCAAGACCTCTAGCGGCTGCTCTATCGGCCAGCGACACCCCCCCCCCCCCCCCGACATCTCTGTCGGCCAGCGACCCCCCCCTCGACATCTCTATCGGTCAGCCTGTAGCGTACCCTCCTCCCATACGGGGACTCTGCTGCACACCAGACGTCTCTGCGCGACTTACCAGCCGCCCCGGCCACCCGTATGACTTACGGGCCCTTCCTGTACTGTAAAGCTGACCGTTTGTCCGCGGCCTCAGGAGGTCTTTGTCTGCTCCCGCGGTGAGCGGCTACAGAGCGGAGGCTCCCCCGAGGAAAATGCTCGGGGTGCACCTAGGGGCGTCCGCTCCGCAGCCGATCCCGCAGCCGAGCGAGCGGAACGTCTCTCCCGGCCGGCTCGCCAAACTGACTTGCGGCAAACAGAGTCCACAATCAGTAAGACTGCAAAAGTAGGTCTGTTTATTCAGCGCTGGGCAGCACGGGGGGGTAGTCCCGCCAAAGTCGTGTGCACCGGACGCGGCAATTTGCCGCGATTATACGCAGCAAAGAGTTACATTTGCACGAAGTTTCACAGTGCGCCTACACGTATTCACAGCCTGTCCCCGCCTCACGTTAAAAGTAGTTCGAGAAGTCATTTCCACAAAGCACCCCCCCACCCGCGCTCGCGCAGTGTCTCCCGGTGGCGGTCGTCGGGGGTCATGGGGATGAAGGTTGGTGGCTCTTCCTCGTCCCCGCTAGCTGCCCTCTTGTCTTTGCGCAGAGTCGGTTGCTCCTTGGCTCCTGTCCATGCTGCAGGACCGGTTTCTGCCAGTTTCTTAAGACAGGCTCCCACTCTTATGAAGAGACTGACCTCGGTAAGGGGCCCGAGGCTTCTTGCTTTAGTTATTTTGCACAAGGCAGCATAGTCGGCAGAGAAGCAGGGAGCATCGTAGTTGCAGTGCTGTCAGCGCTCTCTCTCTACCCGATCAGATTCTCCTAACTCCCTCTCTCACCAGCCCCAGCTGCAAGCCAAAGAAAACCTTCAGAACCGTGCTGCCCCCGCCACAGTATGCGACCTGCCGCCCCGGCCGCTGGAGACGGCCGCTTCCCCGGTGCAAAGGGGCGGCAGGCGCTGGCGGGAGCGCGAGGGGGCAGAGAGCCGTTCCGGCCCGCGGGAGGGGCAGCGAGGCGGGAAGCGAGCGCACGCGCTGGGCCGCGCCGTGCCCTCCGCGGAGCCGGGAAGCCTGCGGCGGCCGGGCGGCAGCTGCTCGGGGGCCGCTGCCCCGTCCCGCGCCGCGCGTCCCCCCGCCCCCCAGCGGCCAGCTCTGTCTTTGCACTCGCACAGCAACCTCCCGAGGGAGGTGCACCGTTCCCGGAGGTACTGCAATACCGGGACGATGCGCGGAGCGGAGGGAGCAAGCTCCGGATCCAACTCCCGAGCCCAAAAATCCGTTTAATATAAAGTCCTCTCATCGAGGACGTATCAGATATTAAACTGATAAGAACAGATACTACACTTGATCTTAGCCAAAAGGCCGAGAAGCGATGCCCACCTGCCCGGCCCCGCGCCACCCGCTCCCGCGCCCACCACCCCGACCTCACGGCCACCGCTCCACCTGCCCGCCCCCGCCCTCCCGGGCCTCAACCCGCCGCCCTCGCCCGCCCTCGTCCGCGCTCCGCTCGCAGCCGCGACCCCCAAGCGCCCCGCCGCCTGCGTCGCCGGGGCCTCCCAGCGGCCCGTTCGGGCCCCCGCGCGCCCGATTAGGCTGGGCCCCGCCACAAATTTGCATGCCCCGCCCCTCCCCGTGCCCCGCCTCTCCCTCCCCGCGCCTCGCCGGCCGCGTGCCCCGCCCACGAAGCCTCTGCGCCCGCCCTTCGCTCCGCGCTCATTGGCGCAGCTCCGCCTCCTCCTCGCATTCGCCCCGTGTCTTTACAGGGCGGGTGTCCTCGGAGCACCACCCTCGTTATCTACACCTGAGTCTCCAACTCCAACTGAAACAAAGAGTAACCCTGCGGAGACTCAAATGTCACCACACGCGACTGGAAGCAACTGCCAGAACTGGGATGACGGAGGCCTAAAAAGCCTGCCTTCAAGACAAGAGACCAGAAGGATGAGGAGTGAAAACCCCCTAAGAAGACAACTCTCAGGAAATCAATTCCCAAGCAAGAGCTCCTGATGCGGCCCAGATGACTTCTGCAAGAGTGAGGATGGAAACAGATGCCCACGGCCCCTGCCCCCCCCAAAAATAGGATGCTCAAAACCCAAACCCAACTCAAAACATTAAGACACTCAAAACCCTAACTCTGGAGAACCTAACCTGAAAAAAAAAAAAGAAGATATTAAAACTCTAACCCTAAATAACTGACCAAAAATAAAACCCTAAGACCCTAACCCTAAAAAAACTATCAACACTACAACCCAAAAAACTCTAAAACCCTAACATGCTAACCCTGAAACCCTTAAAACCCTAACCCCCAAATCCCTAAAATCCTAAATGTTAAAACTCCAACCCTAAAAACTTTAAAATCCTAAACATAAGCCCTGAGAACGCTTACCCTGAAACCCAACCCTAGGGCCCTATCCCTGAAACTTTAAAACCGCGAATCAATCTTTGGGAAATAACATAGGCTCAGGAGAGGATCTCAGTACAGTAGCATTTGTATTTGAGATTACAATGGCGGGGGTCCCGCAAGCAGGAGGGCACCTACTAATTCCATACATAGTTTATATTCTTTTTTTTTCCCCTCCCAAGGACCAGGACCCTCCCGTTTCCCCATTAACTGTGCAATCCAGGTTTATACTCTACCTGGTGCTTCACCGAAAACACACAGCTGCTGGCCTGTTACAAGTCACATTTCTTTTGAGGCTTTTACTCTTTGAGGTGGTAATGTTTCTTACACCGTGATTTCCACTTAATTGTTGTAAGGATTCTGGTTGTCTGCATTTTACAAGGTTGTCTGTTGTAATAAATGACTAAGTCCCAAATAGGATTACAATCAAAGTTTACAATTTATTAAATGAATAGAGGTAAGCAAACAGCACTGGGTGCGCCGGGAGTCTCTGCTCCACCGAGACGCACACAAGTCACAGCAGGCGGCTGGTTTTTATGCTCCTAGGCTAATACATATTCATTACTACTTCTAGAAAAGGCAGGGTTATTATAACTAGTTCCTGGAATCCGAACCCGCCCACTGGCGCATGTGTTATCAGTCTCTGGTGGTCCCTCTGCGGGTCTCTCGTACTGAAGGCTCATAGTCTTCCTCCCAGGCTTTTCCCTTGTCCTTCTCCTTTGTCCATCTTGGCTGGATGTCAGAGACTTGCATAGTGCCCCATGCAATAGTCATAACAGTTAGCAGTTATTCTGAAACCCCTTTGTTCTCTTGTCCCCTATTAACCCGAATTGCTGGACCATTCCTCTGCAAGATGAGAAGAGGCAAAGAGAGCAGGAGGAACAGCAGCCCTGGTTTTGGTCTGGCTTAGTTCAACAGGGGGCAGCACAAGCAACCAGGCTGTTTCTCTTCAAAGACTTGCCTTAGCATTGGTGAAGGAAACTGACCGGGCCGACAACCCTCTTACCTTTTTGCACCACTCCACACCATGGGGACTTCATCTCTCCAAGGCTGCACGAGGGAAGGGCGGAAACAAGAAAAAAAGCACATCCTGAGGCACCTCATAACCACAGCCTACCTACTGCAATACTTGTGTCTCTCTTCCCAGCTGCTTCATCTCTGTGGCTCTCCATCTCCAAACCACATTCTTTTTAACTGCCATGCAGAGTGGCAGTCCTCCGGGCGCCATAGAGCAGCACCATATTTTTTTATTTTTTATTATTATTTTTTAATTTCAAAACAGCAGTCCGCTTCCCTCTGGAGATGGACAGTAGGTCCAGCCAGTCACCGAGTTGCCAACACAGAGCTTCACAGTTCCAGAAGGCGCTCTTTCCTTTCACCGATTCCTTATAAATGTTATCTACCACTGGCAAAAGCAATAAACAGACTGCAAACATGCACTGCCATGTTTGACAAACTTTATGTTTTTAATTTTATTATTTCAAAAGAGCAGTCCACTTGCCTCTCCATCTGTGAAGTAGATCAAACCAGTCACTACGTTGCCGAACAAGAACTTGACGGTTCCAGAAAGCGCTGTTTCCTTTGACTGGTTCCTCCTAATGTTTACCTACTGCTGGAAAAAAGGCAAAAAGACTCTGTGCCAGCTGCCCTTGAGTACTCGCCCAGAGCTTGAGTATTCGCCCAGAGACAGACCAGATATCTTTTCCAAAACAGTCAGGACAATGTATTATTGCACTGATGGAACACCACTTTAGCTACCATCACTAACTGCCAGGCAGGACAGCTCCAGGCCAAACACACACATAAAGAGACACGCTACAAACATCATGAATGAAACATGGCAAAAGAATTACTTATGCTATAAGAATTACTCACCTGAAGAAGAGCTGCATGCAATAAAGGTACGTACTACTATATAGATTAATTTACTTTAAATGATCCTACTAATTGTCACCTTAAATAGACATACTTATTTCTTTTAACTTGGAAACACATCAACCCGTAGACTTTGACCCACCACCAGGCAGGGACTAGCAATACTAAGTAGAGGAGAAAACAAGTGTTGTGAGCCTGAAGTGTGTACAACCATAGTAAAGACGGCTCCTGAGAGGATGGGGAAACAAAGGGAAAGCTGCTTACCTCTGAGAAGTCGTCCTTGATCTTTGTGCCACGGACATTTGTCTTGAATGCTCAGCGCACAAGTTTAGGGGTCCCCGTCTGTTGAAGGCTTACCTCGGGGAAGTCCTACATGGCTCCACCTGCATTACTGATTTTTTCTGCCAGCAGGCAGTGGCAGAAAATCCTGAGAAACGGCAGACATCTTCCCAAACCATTTTCTCAATAACGGAAGCAGTGCGAACCACACTGAAAAACAGCAGAAAAACACACCCCACGTTGTCTCAGGTAGGAAATAACTGCCCTGAGCAACATGCCCTTCCCAGGGTGAACCCAATGTACCCAAGGCCTTAGGGGGAAAGCAGAAAAGGAACCCAAGACTCTTAGTGCGTCTCCTGAGAATTGCAATTTCCATTTACTCCATGTCTTCTGCTCTCACAGGATAAGGCAGAGGTATAATTAATTCCTTATCCATCTCTGAAAAGAGCTTTTCTCATATCTGTGATAAAGAAGAAAAATGTTATAATTGTGGGAGTCATTCCACAAAGCCACATGCGGTGATTTAACTATTACAGATAAGATCATTTTTAATCAAAAACACCTCGGCCACAACGTTACCACTGCAAACATAGCACTGCACAAAAATTCAACTCAAGATATAGGAAAAGGCGAGCTAAGAAGACGAATGAAGTTGACCAAAAGCATCTGCAACAACCATCTGGTAGATGGTTGTCCACAGCCATCGGATTTCATGGTCGTCTTTCCTGACGAATGAATCCTGGAAGAAGAGAAAAGATACACAACATGTCCACAACAACTTCTGAGGAGACTATTGAACAGAAAAAAAAAAAAATAGAAACAGTAAGTGGCTAGTACGTCAGTTTTGTTAACAGAGTAACATTAACATACTAGAAATTTCCACGTTCTATGTAGCCCCAAGGCGGTGCTGGGTACATCCACTTACATTATTGAGGTGGCACAATGTCAGAGATAGTTAATAGACAAGGTACACCCGAGGTGCACCCAGTTTGGATCAGCTTGCATATGAGTCTGCTGATACATCAGTACTGTTCTTCCAGAAGCAGACAGGCTGTTGTTATTCATTCCTCAGTGGAGATGAGGCCCTGTAAGGCTTTGCTTTTTATCCTTCCCTCACTCCCCCTCTATTTCCAAGCTTAAACTTACACACAATATAATAACAAGATCCCACAGTGAAACCAAAGCAGAAGCTTAAGGGAACAGATTGGTCACAAACCATTCTCTGTGACAGTAATGTCCGTGTGAGAACTTCTGTACCTGTGGATATGTTCAACAGCATCTTGTACACTGTCCACAACCTCAATGCAGCACTCCAGATCCCCATATTCAGTGCGGAGAGATTTCACTTCTGAGGGGTTGAGCGTCGAGTAAGCAGCAAACTTTGGGCCAGCATGAATCTTCACCTGCAATACCAGAAGTATTTTGTGCTGTAGATTTTACCAATGCTTAACTAACAGGTGAAAAGTGCAGCTTGTTGTTCTGGGCATAGCTAGGACGGAGTTTATTTCTTTCATAGTAGTCCCTACACTGCCACCTTTTGGATTTGTGCCTTAAACAAACCACTGCTTTGGCCGTTGCTAAACAGTGCTCACGCAGTTTCAAGGCTCTCTCTTTTCCCCCCACAGTGAGAAGGCCGAGGGTCTGCTAAAAGTTAGGAGAGGACATAACCACAACTGATTCAAACTTAACCAAAGGGATTGTCTATGCCATAAAAAAATATAGCCTGTTTTCAGAGGCAGCGGATCGGTGAACTAGCAATACGGCACAATAGCTGAAATGCGATAGCATTGGCTATCCATCATGACATGCTCCTAGTTCAGGGTTCATTTTAAATTATTTAAAGCAATTACATCATTTCAAGAAAGACATCTGGCTAGGAAACAGTACAACACTAGTAGTGGGAAAACAGCTACACACTGCACCTAGCCCTTGTACCTATGCTTTTAGAAAGTATGTGGTCTGCAAGTAGTTGTAGCAAGCAACTTGTTTCCGGGTTTGCACGTCTCCCCTGCAGAAGAGTTTACCTGTTTTTACCCTTTTGTTTTGTAAACTGACACCAGCCCTCTCCAAAGCGTATGTTTCAGACACAAAAGAGTTACTGGGCCCAAAGCAAGGCAAGGACTCACAGTTATTCTACGATCCTGATACAGAAGCTCTAATGCATCACCAATCTCTGAGTTTGATTGTAGCAGCAAAGACACCCAAACAATGAGAGGGAGGAGTAGAGGGGCAGGTGCTGATCTCTTCTCTCAAGTGACAGCGACAGGACCCGAGGGAATGGCATAGAGCTGTGACAGGGGAGGGTCAGGCTGGATGTTAGCAAAAGGTTCTGCACCAAGAGGTGGCTGGGCGCTGGAACAGGCTCCCGGGACAGCGGTCACAGCACCGAGCCTGCTGGAGTTCACGGAGTGTTTGGGCAACGCTCCAAGATGTACGGTCTGATTTCTGGGTGGTCCTGTGTGGAGCAAGGGGTTGAACTTGGTAATCCTCGTGGGTCCCCTGCAACTCAGGGTAATCTACGATACTTTAGAGTTGCTGATTAGAATCCCTACCTTTGAAGGCTTTCAGGAAAGGTGCCTGTAAGATGGCATTTTCTTCTGCAACTATACATTTTGTTGATAATGAAACCCTGACCGGTATTTGCGTGTTTCCTGTTCTCAAATCAGATTAGACAGCAGTAAGCTCCTCCCCACTGTATTAAGAGGCTGGTGAGTGCTTGTCAAGTCCAGCAGTCCAAAAAACAAAACCCATAAATTTATCCTCCCACCCCTCAAAAAAAAAAAAAAAAAAAAAAAAGCAGCTAATAAGCTCTTCCCATGAAGAACATTTTAGTTGTGCTGCCTCAGACAGAAGCCTTTTATTTTATCGCACTGATTTCACGTTTATAACCAGAAGGTGTCCTTGCCCATGGCGGGGGTTAAGTAGATCGCCCCCTTGCCATACGCAGACACCGCGTGTCTTTAACATATAAAACTAGACATTGAAATGCAATTTGGTTGTATCTTGTTAAGAATCTGCCTCTCCGAAGATCAGCACCACAAAGCAAAGCTGCAGACAAGCTTCTCTAAATTAAAAAATCCAATGAATTCCATCTCTCTGCAGAGAGCTTGTCTCATGTCTGTGACAAAGGAGAAAAACGTTCTGATCGTGGGAGCCACTCCGCAAAGCCACATGCGGTGAATTCACCATTACAGTTAAGATCGTGTTCAATCAAAAACACCTCCGCGAGCTACAAGGACGAACGCCCTTCCCCAGCTCTTCTCTGTTTCCAAGCTCGCACCTGCGCCCAGCCCCAACCCGCCAGTCCCAACCCGCCCCTCCCGGCGCGCACGTCCCAGCCCCAGCCTGGGGAAGGCCCTGCCGCGCAGCCCGGAGCCCACCCCTGGATTTCCAGCCAATCAGGGAGTGTTTCCGCCCTTATTGAAGGCATGCCCTGACGTCATGTCCGCCCCGGATTTCCAGCCAGTCATGGAGTGTTTCCGCCCTCGTGTAACACACTTTGTGATGCAACTTCCGCCCTGGATTCTCAGCCAATCAGGGAATGTTCCCTCCCTCAGTGGAGGCCCGGACTGACGTCACTTCTGCCCATAATTCCCAGCCAATCAGGGACCGCTTCCACCCTCAGTGAAGGCACGCGCTGACACGTGCGGTTCTTTGACAGGAAGAACAACGGAGGCGAAAATGACCGGGACAGAGCAGCAGAGAGAAAAGGCGGGAGAAGGGTAAAATGTAACTGACTGCAGGACAGAGATGGAAGAACTGAAATACAGGGAACAGGCCTCTGCCAGCCTCAGCCAGATGCAATCGGCTGCAATGTCCGCAGGGGACAAAGGGACCACTTGGCCCTCAGCACCAGCCCTTAGCGAGGAAAGGAGCGAGCTGCTGGCAGCAACGCTTCGTTCTGAAGCTTGCAAACAGCCTGGCAGCCCTCCTCCTGTGGAAGCTTCTGGAGGCACCGAGCCTTTCCCAAACTGACTCTCCTGGGCACTGGGGCCTGCCTTCTTGTTCTACTCTCTGCTACCACTCTGCTGGTTGCCTGGCGCGGCCCTGACTTTGGGAAGTGGGAAGCTGTCTGAGCACTCACTTGGAAACTTCCCTAGGCAGGCTGGAGTTGTTTAGCCCGGAGGAGAGGAGATGCCAGTGAGACTGTATTGCAGCCTTCCAATATTTAAAGGGGGGACTACAAGATGGGGAAAAACTTCACCAAGGTCTGTAGCGATTGGACAAGGGGTAATGGTTTTAAACTAAAATAAGGTAGAATCAGATGTTAGGAAGAAATTCTTTACAATGAGGGGGTTAGAACTAGATGATCTTTCTAGGTCACTTCCATCCTAAACCGTTCTGTAACTCTAAGTGAGCATAAAAGTGTATTATCTTTTTGTGTTCTGGTCCTGTCTCTTGGTATCCAGACATCAGTAGGGGAAGAAAGGGAAAAGGGACGAATTTACAATTTATTTCAAGAGAATGGTATGAGCAGTACATAAACACAGTCCTCACAGACCAAATGGAAACAACCCAATGGCTCTGAAATGACCGGTACAGAAGAGGGGAACAGTTCTGATATTATCCATCTACCCAAGGCAGCTGAGAAACAACCCTCAGAACTGTTATTTCTGGTGATGTGGTGGCTTACACAAATGGGAATGTACACCTCAGAGTCTAAAGCAAATACCCCTTGCACTCTGGTTCCTTTTGTTAAAAGCAGTGAACACAAACTACTTACTTTTGTCAAGACTCTCACTGGAAGACAACAAATATGGTTATTACTGATGGGTACGAGTGATAAAATCAACAACACTTGAGGCATGAAGACAATGGAACTGTGATTAATAAGTCAATAAAAACACTTTTTAAATAGGAAAAGAGTGCAACTAGTAGAAATGTAATTCTGCTTACATTGGTATGTTTGCAAAGGAAATATGAAACTATATATAAGAATGTATTTTTTGTTGTTATGAATCAGATTTTGCACTCCTGTGTATACATTAATGTATATATTACATATATACATATATTACATACATACATTTTATGCATATATGTAAAATAAACTATATATAAAGGAAATATATATGAATTCCTGGACAAAGTAGGTTGGAAGGCAGTGAGGAAAAGACAAATTCCTTCAAGCTGGAATACAAAGTTGCAATTGCAATCATTTGATCAATTCTTATTAAAAAAAAAATAAGGAAAAAGAATAGCATTTTAAAAAATTTATTTCCTGTTATTTTCCACTCAAAACCCAATCAACAATGTTAAAAAGCCCTCGGTGCTGAGTTCTGGAGAAGCAGCAGTCCTGGACTGGTTACTTGATGTTGCATTAAACAATAATTTAGAGAGTTAGAACCCTCTATGAGCAGGGAGCAACAGTATTTGCACATGCACATCCAACAGTGCAAACAGAACTTGTCTGTGAAAGATGAGCAGACAGTCTGTTTCAAGGACTACTTTTTGTTAGGTAAAATCTTTGGAATCAGATATAAGAGCTGTAATACCACATATATAATGTAGAAATGGCTAATTAAATAACTTTTTGTCTCTAAAACAGTGAAAGGAATATAATTACAATCAAAAAAGAACTGTTTCACATACAAAGTAAATGCTTTTATTTGTGACAAAAAAAAAAAACAAACACAAAGAATATGGTCTTTGGTAGTGAGTATAATTTAGACTAAAAATTAAGAAGTTACAGACATACAAGAAGCTGTGTTTCTAATACTGTGGAAAAAAAGCAGAATCTCCTTGCAGTCAAAAATTATTAAAACAGCCTGCGTTGTACATTACTGTTGTTCATCGTTTCGTTCAGCTGCAGGACAACTGGCTTTATACTTTTTCTTCAAACCTTTCAAATATATTCGCAAACTGTCTGAATCTAATCGTGAATTTCTGGCAGTCTGAACCAATCTCATTGCTAAATGATATACAGCTCTGTGTTTCATCATCTCAGGAGTGCTTTCCTGCTGGTGCTGTTCTTAAAAACATACACATGCATTAAAACAGGAAATTAATTACGTTCTGTCATTACAATACCAATAGTGTATTTTCCAGCCTATTTCTGATCAGGTGTTTCTTGGTTTGAACTCCAACATTACATCTAATGCTCCTTTAACAATAAGGAATGATTTGTGTTGTCACCTAACAGTGATCTGAGTATAACCTCTTATAATTAGTTTCAGAAATAAAAGGTTTACTTTCTTGATGCCATCTATCATCATAAAACCTGATGTAGCATTTATTCTGTAGCCTTTTAGAAACAGTGAAAATATACAGTTTTATAAAAACTATCGATTAAAGTATAACTAACCACTACGTACCAAAATTTGTTTTGCAATGTGATTTGTGATTTCCTTTGCATCCAAAATTATGGATGGTGGTAGAGAGGAAACTTCTGCAGCTTTTAATCCTAAACATAGAAAATACAAATAAGGATTTTAGATAAAAATCTTTCCCCATCCTTCACAGTATGTGTGCTAGAATCAGCTGAGTTCATTTTTAAAGGGTGAAAGTTTCATTAAAAATATTTTAATATAAATTTTCTATTTTGGTCTCTTTTTCAAAACAATACTGTTTTGAGAGGTGCCAAATGCATACTTTGTTGTAATGGTGTCTCTAAAATACACTTCCACATAAAGTTGCTGCTGTCAGTAAGTGGGCAGGATTTGATACATCAGATGCTAAAGGAAGAAAATGGGACAGTGGTGGTAATAGCTTTCTCTGTTTAGTTTTTCAGTTTGGCAGGCTGGCAAAATGCTGAGATTGTGCTAAACGTGCTCTCCACTGAATCTGGGCACCTAGTGGATATGGATGTCACATTCCAACTTCTACGCTCTTGCCAGCAGTCAAGGTGTCAGGTACTCAGGTTAAAAAAAATGTGTTTTTTTCTGCCCTAATATGATTTTTTCACTTTTCATTTTGCCTGTTACCCTGGCTGTTGAGAGGAAATTCTGTGCTTCGTCAGGTCTACACTAATCCTACATCTAATACTGTAGGGTTAAAAATGGAAAGGGGCAAGAATAGATCTTGCACTTTTTTTTTTTTTAATGTAACTTTGCTCGAGTACGACAATAAAGCAATACTGAGTTACTACAGGTCTCCTGTTCTCTAAGAACGCTGTCTAAACATACGTGTTTTTTTTTGTTCTGAGTTAGGCCTGTAGCATCCAAAACGGACCTTGTATTGCCAAAGGTAAATAAATTTACAGCTGAAATACTGATAAAGAAGCAGTTTAGGTCTAGTTAATTCAAACCTGATTGGAATAATCTGGAGTCTTCAGTCACCACTGGCTTGCAATAATCATGTGTAGCTAGTTTCCTATTGATTAAATGTCACCTAAATCACAGATCCAACTACAGAATCTAGCATTTGGAAACATACGGATTTCCGTAACTCTTTAAAACATAGTTATACCTTATTGTCACTCATTCATTTATTGACTCACAATCCTTCAATTTGTCCAGTCTTCTATTAAGAGTCAAAGTGGAATCCATTACCATAGTTCTTTTCCTCTGTATATCCTTTAGAGAGCATGTAAGTGTACGCGATTTTCTCCTTCTTTATAGCACTGCTTCTCACATGTTGCACTTCAAAATGGTAATTTTCCACATTGGGATATAAAGCATCTATATGACACAGTTCCAGGAAATGTGTAGCAAACAATGTAAATGCCTAAATAAGAAGGGAAAAAAAAAAAGAAAGAATTTATTTTTGAAACGATCCTTTAATAAATAAACCCCACCTAGAGTACTGTGCTCAGCTCAGGGGACCCCAGCACAAGAGAGACATGGACCTGTTAGAGTGAGCCCAGAGGAGGGCCACAAAGATGATCAAGGGGCTGGAGCATCTATCCTACAAAGACAGGCTGAGGGAGTTGGGCTTGTTGAGAATGGAGAAGAGAAGGCTCCAGGGAGACCTTATAGCAGCCTTTCAACCTTTCAATACTTAAAGGGGCCTACAGGAAAGCAGGAGAGGGACTCTGTCAGGGAGTACAGTGATAGGACAAGGAGTAATGGCTTTAAACTAAAACAGGGTAGATTAAATTAGATATTCAGAAGAAATTCTCCCCTTAGAAGGCGGTGAGACACTGCAACAGGTCACCCGCAGAAACTGGGGATGCACCATTCCTGAAAGTGCTTAAGGCCAGGCTGGACAGGGCTTGGAGCAACCTGGTCTAGTGGGAGGTGTCCCTGCCCACAGCAGGGGGGTTGGAACTAGATGATCTTTAAGCTCCCTTCCAATCCAAACCATTCTATGATTCTACATTACAGTGAATAACAAAAATGATCTCTCAGATGTCCAGTTTTCCCTCCACAATTCTGAAAAGCCATCTTTAAATTACTAAAATAATAAACAAATGAAAAAAAATAAGCCATGAGTTCTATCATTGGCAAGGATATCTTTTCCCATTCAGGATTCCCCCACTCCTTTCTCAATAGAAGGAAAAGAACATCAGAAGTAACACAAAATCCATGATGCTTTTAAAATCTGACTTGGGTTATTTTGAACGACTGTCAAATGGTTGCCTTAATATTTTCAGGGAACGCTATTCCAGCAGTACAAGCTACAGAAAATGCGTGTGTTTTTAGACCACATCACAGAAGTACTCTGAATAAAACTCTGACAA